CGACTCCTGTATGTTCCGCCTGACACTAGTTACTATGCGTGTATATAAGCTGGTATACATAGTATGCACAAGTAGATTATCATTTGTAGGATATACAAGTAGATACAAATGTTCACGCAGCGTCCTCCGACTGCACGAGCTTTCGTGTTTTGGTTTCTCCCACGTCTTTCCTCAAGTATTCCCTGTGTACACCGCTGGTGTAGTTCAAATGTTGGGAGCTATTGGGTCTGCATGCCACTGTTTTCGCAGGAACCATGGCTGACTGAAGAAGAGCTCAAGACGCACCCATTAGGACCGCTCAGGGTAAGTTTTTCCGTTTGCAGCAAGTAGCAGGAATATTAGCTTTGAATTTGGGGCTGAGAGATGCTGCATACCAACGAGTACTTGGAGGTATTCAAGTGCATTAGAATTCCGGCTGGAAAGATCATTGGGTCTTTCCGCCAAAAATATTCTTGTATTTATGCGCGATACAGAAGGAGTTGGCGCCACTTGCTGTGGGATATGTTGAAGACGCCATACAAGAATTGACGGAGTCTTTAGACTCTTCGACCGGTGGGAAACACAACGACAGGGCGTTGGTATTAAACATGCTTGTTAAACAGTAGCGTTTCGGTTGCGTTTTTAGATGGAGGCAGACTCGCCAGCAGCACCAGCTTCGGGCAGCTTGTACGTTTAACTGCCTGTCTTTCGTGTTCTGTTTGCAGTCTATAATCCATTTAAGGAAGTCGATATTGACGGATATGGAAAAGTTTTGATTCAGTGTAAGCTCATTTTCTTTGTCAGCGTTGTCTGCATCTCGGTGCCATACACCGCAAGAACTCACTGATTGCGTAGATTAAACTAAATAATTAAGTTGGTCTCTAGAACGTCTCGGCTGGAATGGCCAACAGTAATGCTCAATGCTGTGCTTACTTCTCAGTGGCGAAAGATCAACAGCATATCCCAGTTCGGCCCCACCCGCGACTGAAGAACGTCGCACCCCCTCCCAGGAGCTTGAGGACAGAGATCACCTTCAGATCAGCGGTTTGTAATGGCCCTCTATTTTTTGCTG